GGAAAACTTTAACCAACCAAACCCAGGAATTCACAGGGGAATTTACTAATAAGGAAAACAAAGATCAGCCCTATCAAATTTCTACATGTTAAACGACTTCAGCAGAACACCTCTATAACCAGGGCTAACTCCACACTGGCACTTCACAGCGCTGTAATTTTCTGGCTCAGGGGTGTGAAAAAACACCGCCCCCCAAGGACAGCAAGTAACAGTGCTGTAAATCACCATTGTGAACCAGGCTGTGAGCCATGCTCCAGCGCAATTAGTTACTCCCCCTTCTGGAGGTGGTTTACATAGAGTGCTGGGAGAGCTCTTTCCCAGGGCTCATGCCGTAGTCACACTTTCAGTTTAAAATGCTGCCGCAGCTGCGCTTTAAACTTTTAAGTGTAGACAAAGCCCAGGTCAGACAATGGTAAAACGCTTTGAGCTCTCCTGCCAAAAAGAGCTAAATCCTTTATTATTCTTATCCTTGTTGACTCTCTGAGCGAGGCAGGAACATCTGTGAGTAAGGCTGTGGGCTGGAAGTCAGGATTACTTGGGTGTCATTCCTGGCTTTTTCTGGGTGACCTCAGGCAAGTCACCCAAACTCTGTACCTTGGTTCTCCATCTGTAACATGAGACCAAGTCTTTGTGCTTACACCAGTGTTTCTCAAACTGCGAATATCTCCTGGGGCTCTGCGAGATTGACAAACTGGAAATATCGATAGGTACAACACATATAATCAGTGGACCGCTGGGGCACCGCATACATTTTTACACATGTAAAGGGCTCCGGAGCCCAAAGAGTCTGAGAACCGCTGGCTTAGACCAGTGGTCCCCAACGTTTTGAGGCTGCCGGGCACCTGGGGGTGGGGCCGCTCACGCGCTGGGCGTACGGGGGCGGGGCTGCTCACAGGCCAGCTGACCCAGCAGCCGCCATGGTGCCCGCGGGCACCATGTTGGGGACCACTGGCTTAGACTATACACTCTATGAGGCAGGGATGGCCTCTTTCTCTCTGTATATACAGCATCAAGCACAACAGAGGCCCAGTCGTGGTTGAGACTTCTTGATGCTCAACCAATATTTTCCTTGGATGCTACTGAGAAAGAAAAATTAAGAACAACCTGAGCCCTACAGAAATCAGATTCTCGAGTCTTCTTTTTTTTCATAACTGCACCTTTTCAACAGCTGATTATTACCAGTCTTGTGCTGGAAACAAATCACTATCTTGCTGAAGACTATCAAAGGGCTTGATTGCATTATGGGCTATGGATTTATCAGTAAGAGTCTAAAATTGTAAACAAGCCATTAATGCTCTTAAAAAGAAGATTTAGCAATTCAGAGGAGAGGGTTCAAAGGATACCCTAGGGCTACCAAAAAGGGTTATGTGGCTTTGACTGTGCCGGCTACAGAGATCCAAAAACTTAATAAACTCCCAGCCCCGTGGGACTGCCAGCAGCCCCATGCAGAGTTTAACCATTAACAGTAACCAAGAAGCATCAGCTTATTGGTTAACCAGTTAAACTCTTACATCCCTACTGAGCACCTCACAGGATCAGGCTCTTAGAAGAGACTAAATGAGAAAAGACTCCCTTAACATGTAATGATCAAATGAGCTTCTTCTATGGAAACCATTCCTGGACCTCTGCTGTGACTAGCTAGCAGCAAACATTCTCTCTTGAACATGCAGCTAGTGATATCAGGGATCAAGGGGTGAGCACATCTGTGGGGAAAGGGATGTTGATTTTTCTCTTCTTTTTTCTAATTTAGTTAATTTGCTTTTTCATCTCATTTAGTTTACAGTTTGCCCTTTGCCACAGGACTAGCTGTAAATACAACATGAAAGCCTAAGACTGGACCTGATGTTCCATTTGTGTCTGTTCACAGCCTCATTTCATACACAGAGTGAAATCCTGGCCCCACTTATGTCAATGAGAGATTTACTATGAACTTTAGATGGGACAGGATTTTCCCCAGAGTATGATGAAAAATCAAAGCATTTAAAAATGTTTGGTGTAAAGAACTGAAAAATTTTTAGTAGAAGAAAATCCCAGTCCTAGAAGGTTTAATTTACTGTCTCATCGGCAATGGGACAAATCCCGTGGGAAAAGCCAAGTACATACTTTCAGCAATTCAAGCAAATTTAAGCAACACATCAGGAACTTGTTAATTCCTTAGAGGTTTTTAAGGCCAAGCTTGGCAAAGTCCTGGCTGAAATAATGTAGTTGGCATTAGTCTTGTGTTGAGCAGCATGTTGGACTAGATGATTTCCTGCAGTCTCTTCCAATCTGATGTTCTGAGTCTATGAATTCATTCAGATCTATCATTTTGGAAAGGGCTTGGCACACAACATCACCTATTGGTGCTGTAGCTGGCATTAAGCAGGATCACAGAAAATTCAAGCAACAAATACGCACAATTCTGGAAGACATGAGTATGCAGAGAATGAGGCACGCTTTACAACCTCCATGAAAAAATTCATATAAAAGACTTCTTCTGCAGACATAACCTAACAGTAACTATACACACCCAGTGGGGATCCAAAGCACCACCCTAAGACAGAGCCATAATATCTCCCCAGGCTAACTTTGCTACATTCCTCTTACACTACACTCGTCTCAATCTATCGATCTTCCCATTGTTGGATAAAACACACTGCCAAAGGAGAAGCACAACAAGAGGAATAGAAAAAAAATAAGCCATTTTTATTAAGCATCACTGAGAGATTTTATATGAATGAAGGCTGCAGTCACGTCCTTAAGTAAAGACACCAAAAATGACACTAGGGTGTCTTCAATATTATTATAATGCAAAGTTTTTAATGTGGATGATTATTTGCCTCTTTTCATTATTAAAGACACATCCATGTACATGACTGCTTTCAAAACCAGCAGTTTTATCTGAAGTGGATGTGTGTGCATGTATTGTACTCTGAAAGCCAGCTGCTCCTCTCTTTGCAGAATGGCAGAGCAGAGTTGGAAGAGTGAGGTGTCTAGTGGTGAATATGGAGATTATAGATTATCCAGGCAATGGAATGAAATTGCAAAAGTGTCACAATCTCAGTTATATTGGAGTATTTTTTTTATCAAAATGAAGTTATGTGTATGGAATACAATTCTTTATGGTATTTTATTTAAAGATGTAAAAATACTACAGTCAGTTCTATAGATATCCTGCAGTACAGAAATACTATACGTCTAGTTAGTTATAACCAGATAGGAAGCATCTTTGATTTTTCTCTCCTCAATTAGTTTTTGAGGACGCTCCCATTGAGTTGTTGCCTGGCCCTAAAGCCAAGCTTGTGAGAATTATTTTTCTCATTAGTTCAATGAACAATACTTATTGAGTGAGATTCTGCTCACAGTTCCATGTAAATCTAAAAGAATACTGTCAAAATGAGTGTAGTTACTCTGGGATTACAATGTTGTAAATGAGAACAGAATTTGGCTTATTCTGTCCAAACAAGTGAAAAATGTATGGCAAACATGGGTAATACAATGAAATCATTAAATTTTGTTAAAATACATCTCTCACCCGAAAAAGTACACTTTGTGATTAACGGTAGACAAACTCTGCAGCTAGTTGTGCGTGTGTTATATGATTGAATATATAGAGGTACAGTTTTATCATATGTTAACTTCACTTTATGGTAGAAAGGGCAAGTAAAAGAAACTTTGCAAATTGTTGTTCTCAACTTTTTGCACTTCCACAGAAAGATGAATATCCGAAGAGGCACAATCCTGTGCAACTTGCAATTGATTTATTAATTATGACTGTTATTCCTGTTGAGTGCAATTCCTGTTGTTTGGACTATTATCAGACTAGGAGCATTCTTTAGCTTGTAAACATAATGTAAACTTCTTGGCACCATCATACAGGATCACATACTGTTTATAAGATTAAACTGAACAAGCTTCCAAAACAAAGAAATAAAGCCAACAGCAAGAATCCTCAACACACTGGAACGGAAAAGATTAGCATTACTTGATAATACATCCTCCCAAATTAAGCCAATTATTGAATTTACAAGTTTGGTCTTTATGGCAAAGTTAGCAAAATCGGAAAGGAGAATTGTATACTTTACAGGATGTGTTTGTAAAAGGGCCTGATTTTAAGTCATCGGTAAACTTTTTTTTTTTTAATTAATCCAAGCTCCCGGTCAGTGGTTTGCACTCACCTTGACTGATTTTAATGTTTGTCTGTGGGAAAGCCTGGGTAGAAAGCAACACCATTGAGAAGAGCATGCAGAAATCCCATCTGTTCACCATCTCTGACCGAGGACACCACTTCAGAGAGCCAATGACATAGAGCCTTTTCTTAGTTCGGGTTTGCCTTGCTCTGCTGCTGAGATTCCTGGAGCAGATGTGAATATACTCTGTGCACTGCACCCTCCCCCGCAACGCCAAACTTTCACAGTGACATGCGAGGAAGGCTGGCCAAGCTCCCTCCAGTGTAATACTACAACAACCAAGAGCTTCCCAGCAGAAACGCTGCTACATCCCCTTTCACTGGTAGGTCAGGTGGTGAGGTTTTAGAACACAGGCATGCACACTCCCTAGTAGCAGAACTTCAAATGTTAAGTCCTCTATTCAAGCAAACCACATTCCTTTTGTGCTTTCCTAGCTGCTTCCTGAAAGGTTTTGTTTGTGTCTATTGACCAATCAGTGTTTTTCACCAATCTTAGCACAGCACAGGAGAAGTAGGAGAGGTCTTGTTTGGCAATACAGTCCTACATTCCGGAGCAGCTGTGCTCAGAATGGGGCCTGATTGGTTAGACCTTACAGTTCGCTGCTGCAGAGATGTGCAGTCACAACTTCAAACAAACACTAAACCAGTGGTGGGGGAAGTCTATGTGAATGTCAGCAAAAGATGGACATGCCTGGCAGCCAGGGAGATACAGGCAGGCTAATTTAAGCCCAGACACTGCAAGTTCTCACAAATTGGTGGATCCTGGCACACATATGAACCCCCCTCTGAAGACCACCCTACTGAAGTCAATGGATTGTTGCGTGTCCACGGGGTCTGTCTGTGTGGAGCAGCTTGCGGGATTGGGGCCTTATTTGGTGCATTTCTATATTTTTTAAATCCATTATTCCTTATGAACCATTTCTGAATGCTTTCAGCTCCACCTAGATCCAGCGGTGGGCGCCTGCAGCAATGCAGGCAGCTACGCACTGGGCCCTGGGATGGCTCACGCCCCCACCTCTGTTTGACCTCCAGTCTGAAAGGGTTGAGCAATGAATGCAAGAGCCCACTGCTTATTATAAAGGAATTACATTCAGAGTAAAGGATAGGCTGAGAGCCCCATGGGCTGTCTCTAACCATTCTAACTGGCATTGATATGGCTGCAGAGGCTTGCCCTCACAACATGGATAAACACTTCTGAAGATAAGAGGGACATTTCTCCCTCTCAAGTGGAGATAAATAAAAGAAAACAGAAACCAGCCAGCAATGTCATGGCTTCCTTTAATTCCATTATGTGTTTATTTGTATATGGACTCTGTACACAAAGGGGTGAGATTCATGAGCCTTTTGTGCTGAGGTGGCAGTTTTGATAGCCAGAGATGAAAATGAGACTCCAAAAGGCTGATCCTGCAAGGGGGTGTGCTCTTTGGGCCTGATCTGAAGCCTTTTGGAGTTCAGTTCCCATTAGGTTTTGGCTCAGAACCTATATGTAGCTCGAATTCTCCTCCCACATCCAAATTACAACAGTGTAACTCCATTGGTTTCACTGGAGTTAACTTGTGATTTATTCTGGTAAGCAAGAAGAAATTTAGGGCCAACAACTTGGTTTTTCTTTTGGTTGTGCAAAACCCATAACAGATCAAATTGGACACCACGCTGAGTCAGGCTAAGAAGTACCCCTTCAGTATACATGGCACAAATAAATAGATCTTTATTTTCAATAAATATACACTCTCCATCATACCAGACAACATGTCGTGAAAAATGTACAGAAGCATCCAACAGAACAGACAGCTTGACTGTAGCTAAAATTCACTCTGTGGTTTGAAAAACTACCTTGTTTCGAACATAAAACACAGAAGGACCCACTGCAGCCTGTTAAGAAAGGAATTAAAACTCTGTGTTGTTCTTATCTGCAAAAGCTCCCAAAGCAGGTTCTTTTGCACACCATAAGAAAAGTCTTTAAAAGCTTGCCATGGCTTTTCCAGAACACACTTAATTGAAAAGGTTTATTTTGCTATATCATACTCTACTTTACATACACAGATTGCTATACTAGAGTGGCAGGGTCTCATTACTGACAACATTAGCTCCATGTTATACATGGTTGTTTGTGAGGATCTGTGTGTGTAACACTGCACATGCACACACACAAACACATACACACACACACCCAGACACAAATTACTAACAGGAGTTTAATTTTGTTAAAACTAGTACAAAGACAAAACTAGAGTTAGAAGTGATTTTACCACACATTCTATCATTTAAAAAATAAATACTCTAACCGATTTACCACATTCACCAAAGAGAACACACAGGTACTTACATCTCCAATAAAATGAGTCATGGATTGGTACTGTAAGTGTTGCGGAGGTAACTCAAAAAATTTCCAGTTAACTCAGAATCTACCTGGCAGATCAGCATATAATGTGCTTGGCAATACGTTGGAGCAGACAATGGACACTTCTGAGCTAATCGTGATCTTTTGAATAGTTTCCATTATACCATACATGGATTAAAAACAGTGGTGTGGATGAAGCAGATAATGCAAGTAGTAACAGGTCCAACAGGCCACATTGGTAGTGGCCCTGTGAGAACAAGGGGCGCATGAACAAGTGATATGTAGTTTGCATTATGAAGTTTCACTGAGGCACGTAGGCTAACGCAGCCAGTTTGTTACCAGCAGCTGTAACAGTTATTTTCAATTCCATGGCGATCACATGGGAGTATGCGGGGGTTTGATTTGTTTTCCTCAGTTGTTTGCTTGCTTTTGTGGCTGCCGGAGGACCATTCTCACGTCACCTCAAGAGATGCTGGAGAGACGCGATCACACTCAGCCCTGGACCGCAGGCTGTGCCACTGCTCCACGGCTGTCCGATGGGAATTGAGCATTCGACGCCAATGGTTTGACTCTGGTGAGCCTGTCGAATACTGACCAATCACAATCCTTCCAATAAAGTCATTGCTGCTTTTCACATTGTGGCCATAAGCTGAAGAAAAAAATGAAAGAGGGTCAAGATCAACATCTACAACAACCTTCCCCACCACATCAAGCCCATCAACAGCAATTCTGGGCCCCAGGGCAGAACTATCAATGACCTCCCTGCCCCACTCCGTCGGCCAGGTTCCGGGGCCCAGTAACCCCACCCCAGAAGCTGCATGGGGTAAGGATGGTAATCGTGTATTTGTGCAAATGTGTAAGCGCTGAAATTTTTAGCAGTTACACATTTACACACAGGGGAGAAGGCTCTCGACTCCACACCGCCTCTGATAGAAAGGCAGTAGCGCCGGGGGCACGTGGCTCAGCGGGAGCCAGTATGTGCAGGGAACCGGCTTGAAAGTCGCTTCCCACGTGTACCATTTCCCACCTGCCCATATCAGAGGTAGCAGCACCATGTGGGGGAGGAGGGGAAGGCAGGCGACTCAGCTCTGGGGGTGGACGGCTCAGTGGCAGTCAGTATATGCAGGGAGCTGGCTTAAAAGCTGGCTCCTCATGTGTACTGGCTCCCATCTTCCCCCTGGGGGCAAGGATGCCTGTCACCATTAGGAATAAATGATAAGCTCAGGCTTATTGGTTAATCATGTAAACGAGTACACACTAACATCCCTAGCATGGGGCATATCAAACGTGACTTTGAGTCAAGAGATCCTTTCCCCAGAGCAGGCAGAGCTACCGTGGCCCCAGCCAGTGTCCCTAGGCCTGGTTAAATCTCCATGGACCCTGGGCTATTGTCCCCTCTGGCCCTCTCCCGCATTCAGGGGGCTTGCATCACATCTATAGAAAACCGCCCTTCTTGCTGCTCCTAACACTATAGCCTATGAGTGCAACCAGCAGTACTGCAGAAACCTCACCCGGTGGGAGGGACCATTTTAAGGTCCAAAAAAACATTTCACAGTCAGATTTGTACAAGAATCCATCTAAGTAAACTGCAGAACTCATGTACCAACCAAGGTATCCTCATATCCCCACAAAAGAATACTGCAGCAAAGGTAGGGAATGGTTCATAGGGAATCTAGAGCAATCAACAAGAGGCATAATAGCAAATGGTCCTCAAGAATGAAATCCTGGCCGCACAGTTTGGGGAGTTTTCCCATTGACTTCAATAGGGCCAATATTAGACAAGAACATGAGAGAAATCCAGTAAGGGCACAACCCAGACCACTGAAATCAATGGAAACAGATTTCTCCTGACTTTGGTTTTGGATGAGGTCCTAAGATTAGCAACCCCTTTGGCAGAAGGGAAGAAGGAATCTTCCTGCAGGAAGATGATCAAATGTACTTTTGCATTAGATCATATGCCACAGAGGAGAGGACATGGACAGGGCATGGAATCTGGCATGTAAATTTGTTATTGTAGACAAAAGATTTTGCAAAAATTGTAAGTAAAATGAGCATTTTGGCCCACTAAAAAGATTATGCAGACCTCATCAGCTGCTTGGAAAAAATTAAATATGTTCTAGATTACAATAAAATTCTAATCAGAAACCGGAGCCCCAACAAATCAGAGCTTGTTACATACTCGAGGAAAAACAAGGGAGGAAACAGTTAGCCCATATGCCATTATAGTTGAATTTCTTTATGTAAAAAGAGATTGAAATTCTGGTGCAAACATTATTGAATGATGAAACAGGTAAATATAATGAGAGACTTTAAATGAAGTGATGCTATATAATCCTTTCATTTTCAAGAGTCAAATGTGCTAGTTAAAATTATCAGAGCTCTCAGTCGACAGAAATCAGTCAGATATGACCAGGCTGTCCAGTGTGATGTCTATAATGAGCCAATTTTCAGTAATTACTAGAGCTATTTGTTAAAAGTACTGCTAAATATCAAAGAGGAAGGAATGAACCTAGTATTCTGTTCCTTTTGTTAACCTCCCCTGGTGGAACAAATAGCCACCCATAGTGACAGAAATCAATATAAAGGCATGATCCTGAGAAGCGTGCAGCAATCCCATGAGACTGAACTGAGGGCACTCAGCACCTTGCAGCAGGAAGGTGGAAAAAGGGGTTTGAGAAAGCTAAAGGTTTGAGGGCACTCAGCACCTTGCAGCAGGAAGGTGGAGGAAGGGGTTTGAGAAAGTTGTCTATATTAGCACTTTTGCTGGAAAACTTTTGTGTGCCAGGGGTGTGGGAAAAATAAGCTCTGAGAGACTAAACAACTAAATTTCACTGACAAAATCCCAGTGCACAGTGCCATATTGGTGGGAGATGCTTTCCTGCCAAAAGAGCTACCACTGCTGATTGGAAGTGGTTTAATTATGCTGGTGGGAAAATTATCTCCCATGGACAGAGCAGCTAAACAGGAGACCTTACAGTGGTGAAGCTGCAACAGCTGTGCAGTTGTAAGATCAATAGGGCAGACACAGGGTTCTCAGAATTGAAGGATCAACAACAAAGTATTTAAAACTGGATGAATTTCTAGGACTTCCAGTGTAAACTGATGCAGAATGCAATTCTTCTAGGGGATCAATGCAGACAGGTTACCAAGCATTGGATGCTCTATCTCTATTCCCTACAAGTGTCTTTTTATGACTATTACACTACCACCACCCCATAAACAGTGCTAATTAACTAAGTATAACATTCTGTTCTTAGCAGGGGCAGCCTTTGGGTTGTAAAACAATCAGAGCCTGAAGCCTTGGGCTTTGCCTTTTCTGTCCTTTTGGCTAATACACCATGCTGCCCTAGGCTGCTAACGCAGGGCCCAATCTGGCTCCCCATCAAAGTCAGTAGCAATATAGCCATTAACTTGAGCAGAACTGCGCCCTTTGTTCATGCCTGTGTGTGGTCCCTCACATCCCATTTAGAGTCGTACATTCTCAGGTTACACCTTTGGCATTACTCCCTTGTGCAACAGGAGCAAGCAGAAGCAGGGGACTAGATTTTGAGGCAGTGCCAGTCAAAGGGCTGCACATACAAAGAGCCATCTGTAGAGGGGGGAAATTTATCAGGAACCTCCAGACGGTATTCCTGACATCACCAGAGCCCTACAAATCCGTCAATATCTGCTTTATATCTGCAGGTGTCTGCATCCACAGATGCGATTATCCACGGCTCAGTTTTGCGGATACAGATGCAGATGCGGATACTAATTTTGTATCTGCACAGAGCTATTCATTGTCACTTGGGAACAAGGTTTTGCAAGGACCGGACGTAGACCTGTCCTTGTGCACTGTTCCCTGGGGCCTTCTCCCTGCATGGCACAGGTAAGCACAGCTTACACACCAGACCCTTACACCCCTGGAGCAGGAGATACAGCTGCAACTCTCAGCATGAACTCCCACAGCCGTTCCCAGTGGAGTTCTGCCCCATCCAGCAACCTGAGGCTCTCCAAATGCATGATACTTTCTAGGGGAAAGCAGGGAACAGTGGCTGTCTATAACGCCACCTCCTCTTTTCTATCAGATTTGGGCTGTATCTGGAGATACAGCTACTCTTCTGCACAGTGGGGTTGATGTGATCGCTGCACTTGCCAGCATCAGGCAGCCAGAGACACTGAACAGCCATTAGCCCAGGGTGTCTGGGGAAACCCCATGTTCATGACAAATATGCCACAGGCACTTCAAACCCATGACTAAAAACAGGGCTGAGAGTGTCAGCTTTTAAGTTTTGAACACACAGAGTAAACCACTGGGAATTCAGACACCAAATTCTTATTTAATCATTCAACTCCATGGAAATGAACATCACTGAAAGGGGTATACAGCAGGTGCAGAATTTGACCCAGTGCATTTAGAATGGAAGGACTAATGACTGTTTTCATCCTGCTACAATCCAAATCTGTAAGTCTTAAATATTTTAATCGGCATGCTTAACCCACTCAGCCATCCGCTCAGGCAACCCTAACAACTAGCTAGCTTCCCCAAATCCCAGGATACATATGAGGGACGTAAATCCCATTTAATTAGTCAAACAGTTCAATGATTAAACGGGGATGGGAGTTGCTGCATCCAGCCCTTTACACCCTCCCCAGGTTGCCACTTTCAGCCTCATGTAAGGCTGCTGACTCCCAGTCCACATGGGAGCTAGCAGCCGCAGCAGTTAGGGGGCTGTTTCCGGGTAACTGGTTACCCCTTCACGTTCCTAATACATATCTGTTGGAAGTTAATTTATTTTGATTTTTATGGCAGTAGGAGCTTATAAGGAAGCAGACATAGCAGTGACCAGACTCTGCCACATGGCTTTGAGTCTAGACCTGAAAGCACAGTTTGTCTCAGTGGAGAATTTCATACACTCAGGGTTATGGAAAAGACCAAATGCTGGAGTAGCCTGCCTTGAAAAATCTGTTAACATCGTATCTGAAACTGAGGCCATATAGTGTCACTGTCATCTGCTGCTGGAGGAGAGAAACTCCAAAAGTCATAAAGGCAAACATGTGACGCAGAAACACCTACACAAATGGCTTAAAATAGAACCCAGTCTATCAAGTCAGGAAAGACTCAGGCAATGCTGTGTTCAATTGTTTATATTAAAACAGCAACCCAGTACCCTCATTGCATTGCACAAGCACATGCACACATTTCTAATGGAAACTATTAAAATGCATAAAAGTTTTATCTCTCTCAAATTCTTTGCAGACCCAGTTGAGAAACAGTTTAGTTCATGTCATTCTGCTGAGCCTGTGCTATAAAAACAAAATGAGCTCCAAACATGGTGGGCTGTGTTCAAAAATTTGAAAATCGACGGCAAGACGTAGTGTAGACTAAGCCTTAGGCTATGTCTAGACTACAAGCCTCTTTCGAAAGAGATCGTCTAGACAGCAACCAGTATTATCCAAAAAGAGAGCCGCTTTTTCGAAAGAGAGCACCCAGGCAGTCTGGATGCTCTCTTTTGAAAAAGCCCTGTTTGCGTTCAATAACGCCTGTTTTTGAAAGAGCACTTTCGAAAAAAGGTGTTATTCCTCGAAAAAATGAGGTTTTCTGCGATCGAAAAAACCATCGTATTCTTTTGATTTAATTTTGAAAAAATGCGGCAGCAGTCTAGACAC